GGAGGGAGGGAGGGAGGGAGGGAAGGAAGGAGGGAGGGAGGGAGGGAAGGGGGGAGGGAGGGAAGGACGGAGGGAGGGAGGGAAGGACGGAGGGAGGGAGGGAAGGAGGGAGGGAAGGAGGGGGGCGCCCCTCAGGCCCCTTACGGCCGGCCGCAGCCCCGGGCCCACCCCAGGCCCCCCGGCGTCCCACCCAGCACTTACTTTCTGGGTTGATGGCGTTGACACGGCAATCCCCATGCCTGACCCCGGGAGGACAGAGAGGACCTTGTACTGAGGGGACGACAGCACACTGTCACCAGGGGCCCCTCCCAGGACCAGGGCCAAGCCTGTCCCCATGCCCCGGGGCCCACGGACACCAAGCCCCACGGAGCCCCGGCCTTCCTGGCCACAAGAAGACAGACGGACCTCGTGACTGAGAACCCAGACCTGCGGACGCCCCCTCCCACCCCCTCCTGGGAGGGCCCAAGCGACACAGGGTCTCCCTACGGGGCACCGCATGAGCAGAACGCCCCAGCAGGGAGGCGCGGAGGGCCCAGGGCCCCAACAGCCAGCGGGGTGCCCCTGACACACCAACGCGCCCGGGTCCACGCCACGGCCCGGGCTGGCCCGCGTCCTACGCGCTGAGACCCCGGAGACGGGGAGCAGGTGGACCCCGCCGGCCCCGCCAAGGGCGTGCGTCGGGCCCTCCCTGGGGACCACACACACCCCGCCCACGCCACGTGACCACACCCAAGGGAAACTGGCCGAGGAAACGCTCGAGGCAGGGAGAGCATCTTGGGGCAGATACACAGTGGCTCCAGGGGCCCAGGGGCCTGACCTGGGACCCACCCTGCCGTGCTCGCCTGACCCATCTGGGGGAGAGCGCCCGGCGCAGACCCGTGAGGAGGTGGGAGAGGCCCGTCGTGGCACACGGACGCGGACGGGAGCCCGGGGGGCTCTGCGTGGAGGCCTTCCAGAAGCGGAGCCCGGCCGTGGCCAGGAACGAGGCCAGCAAAGCTCCCTGCTGGCACCAGCCTGGCGCTGTGAACTCACGCGGCTGGAGCCCAGCCGCTTCACGGCCCTACGGCCTCCTCTTCCTGACGCGGGAGGGGGCGAGGAGAAGGAAGGAGGGGGCCCAACCGACCTTCTGGATGTCTGTGATGTCCACCAGCTTGATGACTTTGTTCCTCTTGGAAGAACCGGATTTGGAGCTTTCGAAGCACAGGTAACTACCGGGGGAGAAAGAAACAGGGGCGTAACCCAGCAACTGACCGGGGATGCCCCGTCCAGGCTGCCGCCACCACGGTCCCCAGGGGGCGAGGGCGACCCCCAGAGGGCCCCTCCCACCTGTCACCATGCACCGGCCTTTTACAGAAGACCTCACTTTGAGAGAGAGAGTTTCACAGTTTTTACAGACTGAATCCACCGCCCTACACGGAACCTGGCTGACGTTAGAAGGATGCCAGGCACCCTCGCGCTGTCCAACCGGAACCGAGAATGTCCCCGAGGCCCGTTCCTTCAGCGAGGGGCAGAGAGGGAGGCGTGGCCCGTGGCCACGGCCGTGAGTGCGGGGGCAGGGCGGCCGAGGGCCCGCGGGGCTGAGAACAGATCCCCCCCCCCCGGGCCCCCCCTCCCCCCCCCTCCCCCGGGGGGGGGGCCCCCCCCCCCGCCCCCAGGGGTAAGCTCTCCGTCCGGTCTCGTTCTCGGGGAGAAGCAGAGCCTTTCCCCGAAAGCAGAGCAAGGGCAGCCGCGGGCCCGCCACTCGAGGCCAGTCCCCGGAGGCACTCACTTCTCCGTCACGTACAGGACCCCGTTGCGGATGTAGTCTGTGGGCATCTTCCGGTCCCGGTTAATCAGGCAGCAGCGCCAGCCGTTTTCGCACACTAGCGGAGACGAAAACGACCGTGAGCGCGTCCTCCCACTCACCGTGGGAGCCCGTCACCCCGGGCTTCCCAAAGACGCACCGACACACGCTCCCCGCCACCGGGAAACGCCCGGGGAGGAAGGCAGGGCGCCCCCCACCCCCACCCCCGCCTTCCTGGCAAGCACGTTTGCACATCCTGGGTCTGCAGGACTAGGGGCCAGGAGGAGGTCAAAGGTCGGGTCTCTACAGCTCTCTTCCGCAGCTGGTCACCACACGCCACAGACCGCCAGGCAGTTCTAGAACCCAGCTCCCTGGGCGCCCACCGGGTCAGGAGTTCAGGGCAGGCCCTTCCTGGGAGGCTGACCAGGGACCAGTGCCCCCGGCTGCCTCCCACCACACGGCTCTCCAGACAGGTCACGGCCAGGGCGAGCCGGGGCAGCACAGGTGACGCTCAAACTGGGGACGGCTCTGAGCCGCGCTCTGGGGGACCCCAGGATTTCTGCCGCTAAACCATCTGCCGCGGGAAAGGGGGGGCCCCGTGTGGGCCAGGAGCACACCCGGCTCTCCTGCCTGCCCACCCAGAGCAGCCCTCGGAGCCCCCGGGGCTGTCCCTGCCGAGGGCCCCCCGCCCGGGGGCCCCCCCCCCCCCCCCCCCCCCCGCCAGGCCAGGGCGGGTCACGGACTCCGCGCACGTACCCGCCAGCGGCCGCTCGTTCTCTGTCAGGTTAAAGATCTCGTGGAAATTGCCTTTCTTGGTACCGTGGAAGCGACCGGTGTCCTCATCCTTGCTCAGGCCAGCGGGCGCGCTGGACACGTAGCTCCGCGAGGAGGCCGTCTGCAGCTGCCGAGAGCACACGCGTGCCCATCAGCCACGCCGGGTCGGCAGGGACTGGGGCGCGCGCAGCCCCCCGCCCTTGCCGGCTGTCATCGTACAGGAGGCGCAGCCACGTGTGCCCAGATGGGGGAGTGCGGTCCCCCTAAGAGCCCCTCCAGGGGCCGCCCCTCACCCCGCGAGGGCAGAACAGCCCCACCACAGCGGGGAGACCCCCCGTCTCCCCAGCAGGGTCCCCACTCCCAAAGGCCGAGCTGAGCCCACCCCGGGCGCACGCAGCCCATTCTCCACATTTGAGAAATGGGACGTGGTTGAGGGACAGGCCACTGAAAGCAACATTAAAGAGTCAAATGGTAGGGCGCCTGGGTGGCTCGGTCGGTTGAGCGTCCGACTTCGGCTCAGGTCATGATGTCACGGCTCGTGAGTTCGAGCCCCGCGTCGGGCTCTGTGCTGACCGCTCAGAGCCTGGAGCCTGGAGCCTGCTTCGGATTCTGTGTCTCCCTCTCTGACTCTGACCCTCCCCCGTTCATGCTCTGTCTCTGTCTCAAAAATAAATAAACGTTAAAAAAAAGAAATTAAAAAAAAAGTCAAATGGTCACGACACAGCTTCCAGACGGACACCGTACCCAGTCGTGCCCTGGGACACACGTGGGACCAAGAGAAAAAGGGGGTCCCCGTGACGTGAGGTCACAAACACGGAGGTTGAGCAGAGTCGCAAGCAGCACCTCCTCCAGGGAACCCGCCCCCTGGCTCCCCTCAGTCTCTCGGGACACTGGCCAGCACTAAGTGGTCTTGACCCCCATGAAGGCCTTTTCTCCCCAACCACCCCAGGGCTAGGACGAACACCTCGTCTCCTCCCATGCCCTCGGGGAACCAGGCTGCCCGCCTCACCCCAACCTGCACAACCGGGGCCTGTCTGCTGGCTCAGCTGCTCGTACACACACAAGCTTCACCCCTAATAAGGAGCCCGGGCTCCCAACAGGCGTTGCTGTCCTAGAGCCTGACCCACACTGACCCAGAGCTCCCCTCCCATCAGCGGGTCACCAGACACCTTGTCCTCAGAGGACACTTACACACAAGACTCAGAAATCCAAGTCCCCTCCTCCAGGAAGGCTTCCTAGACCTCCCCGAGACCGTGAACGTCCCCCCCTCATCCGAGACGGAAGAGAACACCAGCTGGTCCTCTGTGCCCCGACTTGGGACGCAGGGCCCAACACCCACAAACGCCTTCCACCGTGAACGAGAACAGGCCTGGTACTGGCGTATGGGCACGAGGTAGGCCTGAGCCTCAGAGCCGGGGAACGGAAGGGCTGGACAGCAGCCCGCAGGGGTCCCTCCTCCCAAGGCCCCGAGGCTCTCGGTAGCCGCGACCAACACCCTGTACTGCGCCTGCCCTTGGCCCGGGGGCCCGCCTGGCTCAAGTCTGTGGGAGGGGCCCTGAGGGGCCCTGCGGCGGGTGGGGGCCTCCAACACTGGGGCTCGTGGGCCGTCCGAAAGAGCAGTGCCGGGTGGCAGGGAGATCCCCACAGTCCCACTGTCCCACGGGACAGACGCTGGCCTCCCTGTGCACGGGGAGCGGCAAGCGGGGGGGCCTGGGAGCCGGCCCGAGCCCGGCCTACCCGGCGAGACACAGCGGCGTTGGAACGCTCCTTGAGCTGCGGGTCGGTGGGCAGGCTCCTCCAGATGATGTAGGGGGTGTCATATTTGGCTCGCAGTCTCGGGCAGCGTTTGAAGATAAAATCGATGAGGAAAAACTTGATCCCGGCGTAGAGTCCTGGGGAAGGGAAGACACAGTCCCATCCCACCCGGGACCAGGACCGTGGCCACGTCCGTCCCCTTGGCACGGCGGCCCCGCACCCCGGCCCGCGGAGGACAGAGCGCCAGGGCACACGGAGGGCCTCGCAGAACCCGGGGGGGGGGGGGGGGCTGGCGCAGGGCAGGAGAAGCAAGAGGGCCAGGAGACCCCAGCCGAAGGGGGGTCCACTCCGGCTGCTGCCAATCAACCCAGCTCCCAAACAAGTTACGAGCCCCGAGAATGACATGAGGGGACCCACTCCAGCCTGCCGCCCTCTGACCCGGTGGGCCTGCTCCCACTCGGGGTCAGAGGGTTCGCACCCCGGCCCAGGCCCCTGAGAAACGGCACCGAGGGCATTTTACTTTTGCTGGTGCCAGTCACTTCCCCCAAGGCCACGCCGTCTGCCAGCCCTGGCTTTCCCGGCAAGGCCTGCAGGGAGAGCGCCAACCAAAGAGCAGGGCTGCGGCGGCATGCTGGGGGGCCGCGGGCAGGTGGGGACGGCCCCCATTCCGTGAGACCCCCCGAACCACGTGGCCGCTGCGCTCGACGCCCCCACTCGGACCCAGTCCCACCCGTGCACTGCAGCCGGGCCGGTGCCCGCTCCAGGCCAGGGACCCTAAGGCCCGAGACAGGTCAGGAGTCAGGGTCTGGCCAGGGGCAGCCTCAGGACCATGGCCTCGGCCTCAGCCTCCACACCCACCCACACCTTCCTCCCTGCCCTGCAGAGGCCGGGGGCAGGGGTCCCAGTGAACCCATGAGGGGTTCAAGTCCTCCTGCCACCCCATGGTTTGAAATACGGACAAAGGCCACGTCCTGCACATCCAGATCTGTGGCCTGGATTCTGCACATGCCCCGCCCTGGAATTAAAACCCTCAACGCCCCACCTCCCGCTGGCCCCCCCCGGCCCCCCCCATCCCTCGTGCCTCACTATCACTACAGCAATATCACCTGCCCAGCGGTTCGGCACAAACCCCGACCCCGCCCTGACCACCCCATCCGTCCACAGGTCCCACCACAGCCCAAGGCCCCACAGGCCCGGCCCTCCCACCTGCCCCATGCCCTTCAGTGCTCTGCCCACTCCACCCCGGCCAAGGGCTGTTCCGGACCCGCACAAAACAAACCTCCGAAACCTCACCCTCTGCCCGAGCCTCCGCCCCACACAGGACGGAAGCCAGCGCTCCCCACGACACCTCCCCCCCCCTCCCCCCGCCCTATGTCTCTCTTCCCTCGGCCTGACCCCGCGCGGCCCCTGTGGGCCTTCGGGTCTACCAGCTCCTCGGGAGTAGAGTGTGAGCTTGATTTAAGAAACAACCGCCATGTGTCTAGGGTGCGATGGGCCTCATGTCTCCCGAGTGTAAACACCTCATGAGAAGCCATCGGATGAGGCCCAGAGGGAGGAAAGCCAGTGAGCGCGAACAGCTGGCCTCCGGGAGGCACGTGGCACGCGCTCTAGTGGGAAGCAGCCCGGGCACCCTGGGCCACACTCACCCCCGACCCGGGACAAGGCGCCTCCTTACCCAGGGCCAGTCCCACCAGGCGGTAGGGGAAGAAGCAGGAGGCGAGGAAGGCGGCCCACAGAGCGACGTACAGCTTCTGCGTGATCTCAGGCTGGACCCACATGAACAGGCTGGAAGGGAGAGTGGGGCTCAGCCGGGGGGCGGGCCACACCCCCGAGGCCGCGGGCTGGGGGCCCATCACTCACTTCTTGATCTTTTCCAGGATGTCGGCCATCTTGCCAAAGAGGTTCTGTGCGAAGAAGCCACAATCACAACAGGTCCCCGTCCACACGGCCACATCAGGAGGGCCAGGTTCACGGGCCGGCCAGAGAGGTCCAGCCCCCATGTGGCCACGGCCGGGTGACACAGCCACCCGCGGGCCGAAGACGGGGGGCGGGTTCGGTGCAAAGCCCAGGCTGACGCACTGACACGGATGTCCCGGGCCACGCCCCTCCTGGAGAGAGCTCGGCCAGGCGGGTAGGGGCTCCACCCTCCAGGGGGTGCCAGCCGACAGCCTCGACCGGGAGGGCCCTCCCTCCAACCAGGGTTGTCTCGGGTGCTGCCTCGGGGCCAAAGGGCAGGCTGACGGCAGGTCCGCTGACAACAGACAAGCCAGGCCTGCGGCGCTGGGGGCCCCCGCTGGGCGACGCTGGCACAGAGGCGCCCCCAGACCGGACCCCGAGAGGGGGAAATACCTGGGCTTTCTGGGCGACATCCAGGACGAGCTGGAACTTCTCAGACACAGTCAGGTCCTCCTTTGGAGGCTCCTGCAGCCAGACGGGAGAGAATTTCCTCCGAAACTGAGCGGCTCAGAGGAATGAGTCACAGGGTCGCTCTGCTGCCCCCGCACGGCATGGGCTGGCTGGCCTGGCAGACACCACTCTGGTGCTCGGGAGGACGGTGGGCAGCGGCAGGGATCGCACCTTGACAGGTCGTCTTCAAACGTGCACAGAGCCCTCCGCCCCTCACTTTGCAGTAAGGGAAACTGAGGCGGGGGGGGTGGGGGCTGACCTCATCCTGTTCGTCTGAGCTCATTCAACCAGAGCCTCCCAAGGGCGTCCTGGGCACCGGGGCCCAGCAGGCACAAGCCTGCCGCCCCCGAGACTCCCTCCCCAAGCCCTGACCCCTGTGGCACCACTGCACCCAGCACCCCTACTGCCAGCTCCCGCCCATGCCTGCAGCTCCACCCCACGGCCAGAGTCTCCCTCTGGAGCAGGTCAGCGAACTTTCCGTAACGGGCCAGGGAATAAACACCTGTTGCTCCGTGGGCCATGCGGTCCCTGCCACAGCTAGTAAACCCGGCCGTTGTTGCCCCAAAGCATCCGCAGCAGTGTGTACATGAAAGGGAATGGCTACGTGCCAATAAAACTTTATTTATAAAATCAGATGGAGGGCTGCGAGCTTGCTGATCCCTGCTCTACACGTCCACTGGTCCAGGGAGACACCATGACGGCCCCCTTCGTACCTCCCTCTAGCGGATCACATCCCAGCTGGGAAGGGTCAGGACAGGCCTGGTTCCCCTGCCGCCAAGCCTGGGCCAGCAAGGGGCATTGGGGTGTCGGCCGGCAAGGGGTCATAGTGTGGCCGTCCAGCGCTCTGTGCCCGGGGGATGCTGGCTTTCTGCTCCCTGACCTTGACTTGCCAGGCAGGGCTCCCCGGGGCATCCGCACAGCTGCTGCTGGAGGCCTCAGGGAACCCACGCTGCCAACGGGTCGAGGCCTGACCGGATGGAGGCCGAGACCTTTGCCCTCCCAGGACTTACCACGGGCTCAGACACTTCAGGCACGATGCTCCACTGTATCCTCCAGCCCCTGGTCAAGAGGAGACAATCACGGGCCTTTAACAGCTGGTGCCGTTAGAGGGAGGACCTCAGATCCCCGGCCCCGTGCTCCCGACCGGGAAGGAGTGCGGGACAGAAGGGGCTGCGGAGACCCTCTGCCGTCTGCTGCCGTGCCCACCAGGGCTGCCCCCTGGCTCTTGAGAATGGACAATTCAAGGTCACCCTCACCGGCCCCTCCCCCGGGGGCCCAGAAGCGACAGGTCTTTCAAAGTAAGTCACCGTAGCAGTGACAGCAAGTACTTTAGCTGACCATGCCTCGCCTGGGCACAGAGGACGCCCTCACGAGTACGTAAAGATTTGCTTCCCTACAAAAAACATTTTCAAATGAACCAACTCAAGCAGGCACCGAGATGCAGCTGGGAACACTCGTATGCGGAAGCGTGAACTTTTGAACGGCTGCGTACAAATCTGGAACACGGGGGCTCTCCTCTGGAGGGACGTTCACTGCTGGGGCAACCGCCATGTTCAGACACACCAGGCAGCCTGGGGACGAGGGGCATCCCGACCGAGCCCCCAGAAGGTGCTCACAAGGGCGCGAAGGAAAGACGGGGCATGTTGCTTGGGGCTGCCGATTGCAAGGACCCTCACTCTGAATGCCAGGACCGCCCCCCTCCCCCAGGGCACAAAGACTCTGCAGCCCCGTCAAGGCCCCTGGGCTACCATCACTGAGCGGGGGCAGCTGCAGGGACCCCGCGGGCACCCGCCGGCCTTCCGGAAGAGCCGCCGGGGAGCTCGAAGATCACCCGCCGCTGGCTCCAGCGAGCCGGGTGGGGGCGGGCATCTTCCTAGGGGCTCGGGAGCCCCGCCCATCACAGGACTACCCCCAGACACCCGAGTGCGAGGCGGCCCCGGCTCAGGGAGATGGCACCTCCACGTGCACGGGCAAACCAGCACGCTCACCTGGCTATGAGGTAATTGAGGGATAACCTCAGAATTGCTAGAAATAAGAACATGGGGATGGCCCAGCCATGCCACACGGCATTCATGTACACCTGCGGGTAGGAGGGAGACGGTCAGGCACCCGGACAGGCCACCCCCTCCTCCTTCCCCCCGACCCCCCGCCCCGCCAGGCCACGATGGGAGGTGGGTGCCCAGGCCCCCCAGCGCCTCTCCAAAGGAGGGAGTGCGTGACGGGGAGGCCCCGGGAAGAGCTGCTTTCTCAGCAGGGGTTCCCAGGGGTGGCACCAAGGGCCGCTCTGGGTGTGCAGGGAGGGGGCGCCCCGGGGAGGCAGCTACCGGACGTGGCCCGGGATGGGCACGGGCCCCTGCCGGCCCCAGGCGCGGCTGCCCCAGGAAGAGTTCGAAGCCCCACCAGGACTCAGCAGGGCCAGGCGAGGTGGCCGACCGCTGGCTGAGAGCCCACGATGTGCCACGTGCCTGGCACACAACAGACGTTCAGACAGGGCAGAGAGCGGAGCGCGGGGGGTTTCAGGCCCAGGAGGCCAGGAAGGAGGGCCTGAATGGCGGGCACGTCTCTTGGTGATAACACACAGGCAGGACCACTATCAAAGGCCTCGTGGGGCAAAGGGCCTGTGAAGGGGGAGCCTCCGGGATGAAGGCGGGGCCGGGGCCCCGCGTCCGAGTCCTATTCTCTGTAAAGGAGCAAAATGCCCTTCTCCCCCCCGGGGCTGGCACCGGGCTGTGGGCTTTAGGGCAGCCTCAGAACCTTCCAAAATGCAGAGATGGGGCTGCCCCTCTCTGGCCACGGTGCCTGGCAGGCAGACGGGTGGCCTGTGTCCCCCTGCCGGTGATGGGAGGGTCTCCTTGCGCGGGGCTGGGGCCAGCTACGGCAGGACGATTCAGGCCGGGGGGCCGAGTCCCCTTTGCCCAGAGCAGGCCGCGATGCCGGCCTGCTGCTCCCCCACCCCTTCCCCAGGACTGGGCTCGCAGAGGCCCAGCTGGGCCCCCAGGCCAGGAGCCTCCCCGAGCCCCAGGTGCCCAGTGGGAGGGAGCTCGGTCGCCCCCGGGCAGACAAGCCTCCTCGCCAGCCTCTCCCCGACTGGCCCAGGAGAGCGGACGGAGGTGTGGACAGAGGCCTGTTCCTGAGGCGCTGCCCCTGGGGGGTTGTCTGGGGCTCCCCCTCCCCCGCAACGCCCTCAAGACAACCCAGGGCCGGGTAGCAGCACAGTCCCCACTGCACAGCCAGAGCGGCTAAGGGGCAGTGCGTCCCTGGGGACAGCTGGGAGGCCGCGCTGGCCGCCCGGGGGACTCACGGTGAAGGCGATGGCGGACGTGTAGACGGAGTACCAGTCTGATAAGGCAGAGAGGTTCTTCACGAAGCTGGTGACGGGTTTGGCACCACGCTCTGGGGACAGAATGACCGCGGTGAGGCCGGCACACCCCGGGGGGGCAGCCAGCAGCGCAAGGGGCGTGAGCACGGGGGGCCCCGAACAACCTGGATTCCTGGGGCGCCTGACCGCCAGCTGGCCACTCCCAGCCACCCTGGTGCCACACACGGGAGAAAGGGGGAGCCGGGGCGGGGGGGGGGGTGCCTGTCATCGCCCCAGGGCCGGGCCAATACTTGGAGAAGCACCGCTTTCCACTGGGGCTTCCAGGCCTAGAGGGACACGTCCAGGCCCAGCTTGGGGATGGGCAGAGCTGGCCTCATCCTGTCCTGCTCCAGATGGATGGCGGGGGGGGGGGGGGGGGGGGGGGTGCTGGACATGCTGCTGACGGGAGCCTTGTTCCTAAGGAACCTCCAGGAACATCTTTCTGGAAAGACGTCCAGTTCAGCCCCGAGGCCCCGCTCCCCTGGCCCCACACGGCCGTGCTAGGTACTCACTTAGTCGCCTCATGTTTTCCGTCAACCTAAGAGGGAGGGGGAGAGAGGTGAGCGCCAGCACCTGCACAGCCGCGTCCCCACCGCCATGTTCCACTGCCACGCGGGGAGCACAGCATGACCTGGGACGCGGGGCCCACACCAGGTGCAGCTCACTGCTGATCACTAACTTGGGGGGGTCTCACCTACGGTGCTGCCCCTCGTCTCCTGCCCGCGTCCCAGAACCTGAGTCCCCGAGACGATGGTCCCCACACGCCGTTGTCACGAAGCCCAGAGTGTTGAGATGGGGGTGGGGGTGGGGGGGGGACTGCCTGTCACGTGACCCTGCTCCTGCCCCTGCTCCCTGGGGAAGGGCGTGTGTCCATGCCCTGGGACCAGCCCTGACGTCAGCCACTTTGTCGCTTCGCCTGAGGCGCTGGCCTGGCTCCCCCGAGGGCCCCTCCCCCCCTAGGGCCCCCACCTCCGGGCGCTGAGGGGCTCCTCCGTCTCCACCGTGCTCTCCTCGGGCTGGAACCGGAAGTCTTCCACGTACTCCCCAAACTTCTCGTAGAACCACTTCTGGACACGGGGGCACAGCCCCTGGCTCCGCCGGTCTGCGGGTAGGGGCTCCCGGTGAGGAACACGGATACAGTGGGGCGTGGACACCCTGACGCCGAGCCTGACCCGCTCCCACCACGAGGCCCGACAAGGCCACCGCGGACCCCGTGGCGTCTCTGTTGTCACACCCCCCCTCCCGGGGAGCAGCTGCAGCCCCAGCAGACGGCCCGCCCCCGGGGACGGGGTCGCCCTCCCTTTCTCTCTCTGGCTGGGGGCTCACCCCCTGGGACCCCATGGACCTAAGGGACGGCCAGGGAACGTGTGCGCCCAGGGGTTGTGTCCTGGTGGGGGCCCCGGTGAAGGACGTGGCCTTTGCCCCCCATGACCAAGACCTTCAGAAGGGGACCCACCTCACAGATTCAGAAAACCAGGAGGAAACCACGCACCCTGAGTGCTCCGCACAGAGTCACCCGCAGGGGGCGCTGTCCCGCCACAATTAAGGAGAGAGAGGGCAGGGACGTGGTCCCATGTGACACTCTACCGGGCCAGGTCTGTGCACACAGAGGCTGCCCAGGCACAGGGAACAGAGGTGTCGGAGAAGAAAGGAACGGGGAGCGTCTGGGGGCCCCTCACCCCTCCCTGGAGCGGGACTGTGCTCAGCACACGCAGAGGTGGGCAAAGCAGTGAATGCTACAGCCACCTGGACGGCTGGACAGCAGCCACGGACAGTACGTGACCCGATGGGACCGCCTGCGTCCCCATGAAACCACACTATGGATGCTCATTTGTGAAATCCACATTCCTTTCATTTTTTTCCAGCCGTTTAAAAACGCAGAAACCTTTTTTTTAAAACTGTGAAGTCAGACAGGGGGCTCCGGTATGCCAACCCCCAGGTCTACGTCGGGCCTGTGGCCTGGACAGGCTTCGGGCGCTGCTCACCCCTCCGTGCTGGCTGCGGGGCCGGGGGCACCACGCAGAGCACCTGTCCCCTCCTCCCACTGTCCCTCCGTCTGCCCACACACCGCACCGGTGACGAGGGCTACCGAGTGGACCTCGGCTGGGGACCCAGAGCGTTGGGGTCTCTCCGCCCTTCACTTCTCTGATACTCCCCATGCGTGCAGGGGACTCATCAATCACGATGCACAGCCGGGACCTCGGGGTCTCTCCTGCCGCTCCTGGCTTGGAACCCGGGTCTTGAGCGTGGAGGGGCCCGGGGAGACGGTGACCTAAGGGGCACAGCAGCCGGCCCTGTACCTGGACCGGCCTACCTGCACGTCCCCGCTGGAAGACAGGACCTGTCTGGGCCTCCACGTGGCGGGTGCCCCTTGAAGAGGCTTTCCCTCCCGGGTCTCGGTTTCCTGAGCTGTATGTGAGACAGGCCTGACCCCGAGGCCCTGCCAGCGTGACTCTGAGCTCCCAGCGCAGAGGGGGTGCTCACGAGTGGTCAGCCTGTGGGAACGGGTCCTACGTCAGGAGATGGGAGGGCCAGGCCCACCCCGGGTCAGATCCCTAGACAGCTGGACAGAAAATCCCGTTTCCTCCCAGGACATCATTAGGAAGGACAAAGGGGAGAGAGAGATAAAGAACAGGGCTCGGCGGGGGGAGGTGCAGAGAAGAGGCTTGTGTGTCCTGACCCAGGGAGGGGGCCCCCAGGTCAGTGGCCGAGAGGCCAGTGTGAGGACGACACTACTTCTCAGTCAGGAAGGGCTGGAGCGGGTGCCGCGCGGCATCTTTACAGAAAAATGAAATCACATCTCATTTGCTGTGACCGCTCGCCAGCTCACAACCGGAGCCGCCCACGGGGGCCCGACGCAAGGAGACCTCGAGTGGGCAGGTGTGCCCAGGAACAGGCCCAACCCCCACCCCAGCCCGGCCCGGCCCGGCCGCCCACAGGGGCCCTACCTGCTCCGTTATTGACCTGGGCCTGCCCCTTCGGAGGCTGCTGAGCCGTCTGCTCCTCGGTTCTTAAAGGGAGGGGAGAAGGGGCAAGAGTCCTGTTAGTTCCAAGCGAGCCCGGGCTCTGCAAAGTCCTGGCACTCAGGGAGCCCACCGCACTCAAGTGTTCCTTCCAAGCAGCTGGGCTCCACTGGGACCTGACGGCTCAGACGTTGTGACGGCGTCCGGGCCTCACAGAGTCGCGTTCGTGACGGACACGCTTTTTTTGCTGTTTTTTTAATAACCGAGTAATCGCTAATAAACATGCAACCCTTTCCTCTCCTATTAACACATCTGCTTTTTTTTTAAGTTCATCTGTTTATTTTGAGAGAGAGCAAGTGCACGGGGGGAGGGGCAGAGAGGGGGAGAGACAGAATCCCAAGCAGGCTCCGCCCTCGGCACAGCCCCATGTGGGGCTTGGACCGTGAGATCCTGAGCTGAGCCGAAGGGTCAGACACTCAACCGACTGAGCCACCCAGGCGCTCCTAACACATCTGTTTCTTTATTAAGTTCCGAATAAATACCCCTTACGCTAATTAACTAGCATGCTAATGAAAAGACACTTATCAATGCACGCACTCAGCAAGCCCCGTGCAAGGCCACAGGCTGGGCGATGCCCGTGCCAGCCACCTGCCTGGCTTCCTGCCCCTGCGGCCCAGCCACAACGGATCACAGCAGTCCCCCGGCCTCAGAGCCCTTGCCCAGAGTTCTGTCCACCTGCCAGACCCTGACCACTGACCTTTCAGCCAAAGGGCCTGATGGAGCTGGCCCAGCCCCCAGCCCCAGGGTGGTGCTTTGGCCGGGCCGCAACGCACTGTTCCTGTGGCTCCCAGGCCAGCAGGGACCCCACGACGTGGGGAGGGTGGAGCCCCAGGCAGAACTCAGCAGGGGCTTGGGGGGCGGGGTGGAACACAGAGGACTCTTTCAAGATAGAGATGCCAGGCCTGGAGACCCTCAGCTTCGGGGAAGGATGGGGGGCGGTTTCTGCTCTGTTCACGTAACGGGATTTCACGCCACACTTCCGTGAACCGACCTGGTTTGCGGGTTTGAAAGCCGCGACTGGAATCTGGAGCAGGAGGCGCAGGGGATGAGCTGGACGGGAGACAAGCAGGGTGGGTGAGGCCTGCAGCCTCGCTAGGCAATGGGTGAGGAACACACGAGACAGAGGTGGAGTCCCAGAGAAGGGAGCCACGGTCAGGGAGGAGGGGGCCGGGCGGCCCAAACAGCCGTCCACGCCCAGAGTTCCCACCCACAGGGGTCTACTGGGAACAGGAGAGGCTCCCAGGACCCGACAGAGTGCTTTCCATTCCCAGGCACGGGTGACGGCCTCAACACCAGGATCTTTCCTGTGAGCCTGGAGGTTCTGGAAGCCGCAGCCCACCTGAGAAGCGCTAACAAATGTGCTCCTGCCGAGCCCGGGCCCAGGCATGCACTGTGAATGACACAGCCCTGCCTGAGCCACAGGTGGGCCCGGGGTCCGGGTGGCCGGTGGCCGCTTTCCGGGGTCCTGGGCTCGGTTTACACAGGCACTAACTGACTTTTCTAACACGATTACCTGCTAGAAACAAACAGCCATTTCAACAGTAACGGGCTGCGTGCCGCCCCCTGGGAGAGGCCGGAGGACACGGGTGTGGGTACTCTGGGCGACTCGTCCCACCAGACCTGGACTGCTGTCGGTGCCTGTTACGTGCACGGGACACAGGAGACAGCGGGCAGCGGGGAGACGGGCATCAGGACATCGCAGCCTAAGACGCTGGGGCGCCCGGTCCCACCCGCAGCTCCCGGTCAAGGGGGACACCAACAGGGTGACCTCGGAAACAAGAGCCGTGTGACCTCAATCGGAAAAAAGGGGCCTTGGATTTCTAACACCCGTGGACTCACTCAAACATTCCGGAACAACCTATGCTAATGCTCGATGATCGGCAAACAAGGCTGGAGTGGAATGTGCCTGAATTGCTTTTTGAAAATCCAATTTTCTGATCCGCAACCCATCCGAGGCCAGAGGGCACTGAGGCCCGGGAGGTTCCAAGTGTGATGCCAGGGCTGGGCGCCAGGCTCACTCTGCCCCCGACCCTCCCTGGGCTGGGGGGTCCATCTCACCCCACACACAGAGCAGCCCCCACCAAGGCTCAGTATGGCCTGGGGCCCAGCACAGGAACGGCCCGAGAGGAGAGCCCGAGGCCAGGGTCCCAGGCAAGGCCTGGCCACAGACGGGCACAAGGTGGGAGGGCAGTGTTTCTACGTGGCTTTTGGACCCCAAACTGGAAAAGGCCTTTGCCTACTGATAAATAAGCTTTAACCAAGATGGTTTTTCAGAAATTCTCTTTAAAACCAAAACAGAGGTTTACATAAACCTAATCCCCAGGTTTCAATCCTACAGCTCATCTGCAGCTTGGGTGTGTGTGTGTGTGTGTGTGTGTGTGTGTGTGTGTGTGCGAGCACGGGTGCGTGCAGGGGCCCCTCCACATGCTCACCCACCAGGGACGGCCCACGGCCACCCCCACACAGACATCAAGATGACGGTGCAAAAGGTCATCACTTGTGGGACATGCAGCTGGTTAAGCGTCCGACTCTTTGATTTCAGCTCAGGTCATGATCTCAAGGTTCGTGAGATCAAGCCCCATGCTGGGCTCTGCGCTGATAGCACAAAGCCTGCTTGGGGTTCTCTCTCTCCCTCCCTCTCTCTGACCCTCCCTAGCTCATGCTTTCTCTCTCTCAACATAAACAAATATTTTAAAAAAAGAGAGAGAAAGAAGTCATCTCTTGTATGAAACCTGCTTCTCCCTGTACCTCCCCCTTCAGGCCTCAGTTTCCAGAAGGTTCCTAAACCCCACCCCCACATAAAGCAGGGGAGCAGCCCCACGATGCACCCCAGAACCCTTAGCTTCCTGGGTCTTGGCCTGGATGCTCCTTAACTATAATCACCCAGCTGGCCCCCAAGCAGACCTGTGGGAGACTGGTCCCTCTGCGTCCTCAGAACTGGGAGGGGACTTTGGTGAAGGACTGGGGAGTGAGGCTGGGAGGGGGCTGGGAAACGGACAGAGCAGACACGTGGGCAAACACCACTCAAGGCCACCGGGGGGACTGCAGCCTCCAGCCAAGGGCTCCGGGCGAGGCTGGACCCAAACACGCATCTGCCCCAGACAGAAGTGCGTTCTGTCCGGGAGACGGTGCTGTGACGCGCCACGGAAGGCTGGCCGTGGCCGGCAGGCCGAGAAGGCACCCGGGGACAGGGCCAGTCCCTGGATCTCCCAGCATCCGTCCAGGTCAGGTGACTCGCTGCACCTCTTTGCATAATTAAAACGTAATTGAATCTTTGCATGTCTACAGATTTCCATGTAAGAAAGTTCAGCATCAGGTAAAGTCCTCGCTGAGGCCCATGTGCCGATGTCTGGGACGGGGCCCTGGCCTTGCAGCCGGGACAGAATGCAAAGTAGGGTGAGACCCTCCCCTGACAAGCTCGAGGCCTCCCCCCCCCCGCCGGGAGTCCCGAAGAACCCCGGAACAGCCACACTGACCTGCGGGGACAGGCAACACAGCCCGATTTCAACACTGCCCCAAAGCACACACGAGTTGTCCTAAACGCCTGCAGAGCAGGGTAAAGACCCTTCCTCCAAAGACAGCCAGGTGCCCCCAGCTCCCAGGAGCTGACCATCAACAGGTAAGACCTGACAGGAAGCCAGCGTCCGGCCATCGCCTTCCCACCGACTAAACCCCGTGCACGGGGCACCTGGAGCCTGGGGGGGAGCCTCGGAACCAGAGCTGGTGACGACACTCGGTAACAACAATGCACTCGCCCACCCCACGGAGGAACCAGCTCTTGGCGGGGATGTCCCAGCAGCGGCTTCGTCTGCCAGGCCACCAGCCTGCAGGGACAGGGAGAACACGGATCTCCGAACGTGCAAACACCCCCCCCCCCCCCAAAGGACCCGCGTCTCGCTGGCAGCACCGTGAGGCAGGGGCCCAGCTCTCGTGGGCAGAGGTGGGGGTGCCGAGGGGGCCACGTGCCAGGGACAGCTCCACCCACAGCAGGGCCCACACCATCCCCCCCAGAAGCTGGGGCGTCACCTCCAGAATGGAGGGGCGCTGCCGGGATGAGGGTGACCCTCCACGGCGGGCAAACCCCGAGGTCGCTGCGTGCGGCAGGTGGCTCAGGAAGGGGTCCCGACCCCCGTGGCGGCTCAGGGGCAAAGAGGCGCCCGCGGGGGCAGCGGGGGGCCTCGGCCCCCTCCTCACCTGGCCTTCAGCACCTCCTGGACCTTCTGTTCCAGCTCCATCCGCCGCTGCCGCTCCCGGTCCAGCTCCTGCCGAAGCATCTCCGAGTTGGTTTCTTCCCTCAGCTTGCGGAGCTCCTCCTCTGCAGGGAGACAGCTGCCAGGTGACCATCGCCCGGGTCCACCCTGCCCCTTGACGGCGCGGGCACCACGGGAGGGCTCAGACACAGGGCTCGGCCCGCGGCTGCCGGGCCACGGCGGCTCTCCTGCTCCGCCACGGGGCGGGGGACACCGCAGGCGGGACTATTAACCGGGGCTCCTCTCACATGGTGGGGGCAGCAACTGGCGCAAAGCAACGGCGAGGAGTCCGGTGCGGACCGGACGCGGGAAAGGCAGCTTGCCAAATCACTGCACCCACAGGATGCCCCAGCGGAAGGGATCCTGGGGACACCTGGCCACCCCACCGACGTCGCCTGGACGCACACGTGCACTAGGTGTGGTCGGGAGGCCGCAGCTACAGCGCGGAGCCCCTACGATGGGCAGACGGGAGGCTCCCGCCCCCCGGGGTGCTGGGCCGGCGGGGAGCTCCTGCCATCAGCCAGGACCCGGAGAGGATGGACATCAGGGCCGCAGGTCCCTTGGCTCGGGAACAGCCTTGCAAAGGCCCTGAGGCAGAAGCGGCCCACGGGCCGAGGGGAGGAGTCACAGATGAGATGGGGGGCCGGGCGCGCAGAGCCCTGGGAGCCAGAATGAGGACCTGACGTTTCCTGGCAGGGGTGGAAGCCGAAACCACGTACGTGTGGTTTTAACTAGAGTACGTGGTAAGCTGGGTAACGGTCCGCAAAGATGTCCCAACCTGATTCCTGGCACCTGGGACTATGTCCCTTCGTGGACAAAGCAGCCCTGCAGATGTGATACACGTGCGGACCTTGAGATGGGAAGAATCCCGGTTATCCCGGCAGACCCAAACTGCCATCACGTAAACTCCCAAGAGGCAGCAGGAGAGTCAGAGGTTAGAGAGAGGAGAGGCAGGTGCCAGGCCGCTGGCCTTGAGGGTAGCAGAAGGGGCCGGCAGCCAAGGACCGCCGGTTTCTCGAAGCCGGTGAAGTCGAGGAAACAGCTTCTCCCCTAGGGCCTCCAGGGGAACACGGCCCTGCCAACGTGGGACCCTCGGTCTGGACTTCTGGTCGCCAGAATTATAAGAGAATAAGTGGCTATTTTAAGCCTCTCGGTGTGTGGAAATCTGGTGCAGCAGCGAGAGGAAACTCCCACGGAGTGGGGCACGCACGTGTGCACAGACCCTAAGCGCACGCACGCCTCTCTGCGCGAGCACACGGCGGACCCCCAGATCCAGACACGATACGCTTCGGGCCACAGAGGCCCCCGCACCTGCCATCTGCCTCCGCGCCGCCCCCAGTGCCCAGGGGTGACCGCCAGCTAGCTTCTAGGCACAGGTGAGGCCTCCCCCTTCTGCGACTGTGTGTAACGAGGACGAGGTCTCAGCTCGGGCAGCCAGGACGAAATAGCACAGGCTGTGGGGCCTGGACAACAGACGGATTCCTCAGGGCTCGGAGGCCGGCAGGCTGAGGCCAGGGTGCCCGCCGAGCCTGGGGGAGCCACCTTCTCACCACGTCTTCACGGCATGCAGAGAAAGGGCGCCAACCCGTGCTGGGGGCTGGGGGCCCCACCCGGGTGACCTTGTCTAACCCTGACCACCTCCCAGGGGCCCCACCTCTAACCCACCCCCACCCCCCGCCCACCCTGAGGGCGAGCCCTTCAACACACGAACCTGGGGGGATGCAGACATTTGGTCCACAGCGGCTCACGGGCCCCGGCTGTCTCTGCCCCCCTCAGAGCGCCTCCCCCACCGGGTCCCCCACAAACACCTGGGGAGCGACAGCTGGCCGCGGGCAACTGGTTCAACTCTCGAGGGCTGTGCCGAGTCTCGTATCACAGCAAAATGCAAGAGTGCCCCTGACGGGGCGCCTGGGTGGCGCAGTCGGTTGAGCGTCCGACTTCAGCCAGGTCACGATCTCGCGGTCCGTGAGTTCGAGCCCCGCGTCGGGCTCTGGGCTGACGGCTCGGAGCCTGGAGCCTGTTTCCGATTCTGTGTCTCCCTCTCTCTCTGCCCCTCCCCCGTTCATGCTCTGTCTCTCTCTGTCCCAAAAATAAATAAACGTTGAAAAAAAAATTAAAAAAAAAAAAAAAAAGAGTGCCCCTGAGAATCCTCGGCTCCTGCATTTCCCGGTCACGGTGGAGACGGCTCTCTCGTTTCTGAGCTGGACACGCGGTGGACCTGCTCTCGTCACAGCCCCACGATGGCACGGAGCTCGGCCGTCTCCACTCTGCCCCCGGACGCCAGCCCTCACTTCTCAAGGCTCTGCATCGTCTCCTAGAGGGGTCGCCACCCGCCAGAGATAGACGGACCACACAGGTGTGAGGGACAGAAGACCTGCCTCCTCGCGGGGCTGGGCTGGGCTGCCCGCATCCAAATAGGTCACAGCCACCTGATGAGACACCCCGACCGCCCTGCAGGGAGAGGCGGGTACAACGGGGACGCGGCCACGGCAGCCCCCGACACGTGCCGTGGCCTGGCCACGAGCCCCCCCCAGAGAACACGTCCCGAAGAGAGACGGCTCCCCACGCCGACGGTGCTGCCGAGGCCGAGACCCGGGAAGAGCCTCCTCCACAGGCATCTGCTGGGGGCCGATGATCCCACTTCCCCCTTTTAGTCAACAGTTAAAGTCACAAAACAAGTCTGCTGAGCTGGGGCCCGAGCAAGACGGAACAGAGCGGTGGGGAGGCCCGCGCTCGCGGTCACCCTGACGGACGGGTATCTCGCCGCTCTTCACGGGACCAGCACGTGGCCTCGCGCACCAGGACACTTGTGACAGAGAAGTGAGCCACACAAAGGCCGGCCCTCTGGGGACCCGGACAGTGAGAACAGCCCCGTTCAGGGAGTGAGTCCGAGGGGTGGGCGGGCGTCGTGGGGCACGTGTGAGCGGGTGAGGGGGGTTGGCGCCGAGGAGAACTGAGCCCTGTGGACTCAGGAAAAGCCACACTTGGCTCGAGTCCTGGAAAGGTCTTCCTGAGACGCAGAAACGCGACCGACTAATTCACCAAAATCGGAGGTGCGGCCTGGAGCCGGGGAAGAGCCAGGACCCCCCCGAGTCTGACCAGTGGCGGGAGTGCAGGCCTCCGCTGCCCCTCGCTGCCAGTCATGGTGAGACCCTCGCTGGCCTGGGGGAAGGGGGGGCCAGGGAGGGACCGGGGGAGACCCAGAGGCTTCCTGTCCTGTCCTGGCTGCCTCCCCAGACCTGGGGACACAGGGCTGAGCCCGAGCCCCCGAAATTCAGGCCAAGGTCAGCACGGCAGCCTGAGGCCCCAAGCGCAGACTGGCTTGCAGCAGGACAGTGCGTGACGGCAGGGCTCTGTGTCCAGACGGCACACAGGCAGGCCGAGAGGCCCAAGGTCAGAAGACCCTCCCGCCTCGAGGGTGCCTGGCCACACCTCCTGCCTGGGTTGTTCGCGGCTCGCCGGATTTCACGAAGAACACGGGTTTGCGAGGGCCGGGGTCCACCTGCTCGGTGAGCGTTTGCAGTGCGCCAGGCCCTCCCGTGCATCTAACCCCACTGGGATCCGCCCGGCTCCGGGCAACTGCGCCCAGCACCCTCCAGCACCCACCGGCCCCTCCGGGCCCCTCCTACTACTGAGGCCTGTTGGGAGAAGATCCCGCACAGAAAGAGGACACGCCAACGCTACAGGGAGCGGTCCCTCCCAGCTCCCACGCGGACCCCCTCAGTCCCGGGGTGAAGCAGGGTGGCCCCCACACAGCTAAGTCTCCCCAAAGACTGAGGCCTCTGGACCCGCTGAATCTGGATGCAGAACAGGCCCCATAAGGGGGGCCGTGCAGAGGGGAGAGGAGAGGGTGGTCCCTGCCCAGGTCCAGAGAGCCACTTCTGAGTCAGAGCCGGCAACGGGGGCCAGGCAGCAAGGGAAGGGGGCCAGGGAGGCAGGTGACAGGAGCACAGAGCCCCAGCTCCAGGGTTGCGGGAAGCCCAGCTGAGCCCCGCTGCCCCACCGGCCCTGCCGAGGCAGCCGCGTGTCCCCGCTCGAGGTAGCCAGCCAGGTTTACGGTTCCTAACTGGCCCCCTTACACCCTCCAATCCACCTCTAAACGGCACTCCTGCCGCCGTCCTGCCTAAAAGTCGGCAGGGGCTTGCGATAAAATCCAACCACTCAGCGAACCCCTCCAAAGCGATGCCCCCCACTCTGCCTCACCTGCTGTGTCTCACTGCTCTTCCCTCGGCTTTGCTCTCTGGGTCCAAGCCACAGGGATCTCCTTTCAGAGGTCGGCCCACGGTCTGACCCTGCCCCAGGACCTTTGCACATGCTGGGGCCCCCTCCCTGCCACTCAGTCTCAAGGCACCATTTCCCCTCCCAGAGCAACCTCCCTGACCGCTCCCCACACATTCAACGTGGCATTTTGTCACTTCCCTCATGGGTTTGCTCTAACCGGAACGTGGGCAACATGGGTTCTCCTCAGGGTGCTGGGAGGGGATTCCTCGAGGGGATGCAGGTCCACAGATAAAGGCTCAGCAAACGTGACCGCTAGAAACACACCACGTTTCTAAGTCTGCACTCACGCGCAGGATCCCCTGGCTCGAGCCCACGGTCCCCGTCTGTCTACTGTCTGTGAAGGCCCAGGGCCCAGCCTGGCCCAAGAAGAAGCCAAGAAAGGCACGGTGAACGGACAGCAGGCGAGCTCTCAGGCAGCACACCCAGTGGCGGGAGCAGACGTGTCAGCTGTAGGACGCACACACCGGGACTGGCCGGGAGCCCGACGGCGAGGACACCAGTGGCGGGGGAGGGGCCGCTGCCCCGGCACGAGGCCTCCGGCACCCGAGGGACATCCTCACCCTGCGCAGCGTCAGGCCTCAGCCTTCCCCAGCCCTGCACCGGGGCTCCCGGGGACCCACCCTGAGGGCTCAGGAGGACTGGGAGTCCCCACCTGTGGTTTCCGGGCACACACGGCACCGGCTGGGAGGTACTCGGGCGACCAGGGACCCACAGCTTAGCACGTTATCGGCCCGGGAGCTCCGGCCTCCACAGAGACTTGCACTCGGCCCCACACTAAGCCCAGCTGCCCAGAGAGACCACCTGCTCGCACACAACTTCCTCAGCAAACGCCCGCTGTGCGCGTATTATGCACCAGACTTCGTCAGAGGGAACACTGCCGTGATGAAGCAACCGCACCCCGGGCAGAGCAGGCATCAGGTGGCCCCTGTGAGCATATCTTCTGTGTATGCTGGCCCCAGGGGGCTGGCCTGGACACAGCTCCCCACTGGCCCTTGGGCCCCTCGGGAGGTGGGCCCGACACAGGTAGGGCCCGGGGACCCTCTTCCAAGAGCCCTGCCCCCCCATGTGCCGACACAGCACTGCCCAGCCTCCTCCCACGGCACTCGCTTCGGAGCAGTGTGGCCCTTCTGCGGCGGGCCTGGTCTAAGCAGGCGCCCAGTCAAGACTCACTGGATAAGCCAGTGGATGAACCTCAGGGTGAGCCTCCACGGGGTCCTGTCCACCATGTGCTTATGGGCAGACAGCCCTGGACAGGGGTGAGGGCACCTCTCCCCCAGGGGGAGTGGCCATTGGCCAAGTCAGGTACCCCGGGGGCCACCTCACAAGTGCCCAGATTGGGGTGTTCTCGAGCTTTCCCATCCCAACACCCACACGCACCCCCAATACCTCTGTGTATCTCAGCTCCGTCTGAAGGTCAAGGCAGCTGCGGACGCCTCCCCCATCCACAGGCAGTCAGCCCCTCCTGCATCATTGGCAGGAAACCACACTTTACTTAACGTGGCCACCCCCGAGCTCCCTTCCCCAGGAGGCCAACCTGCGGAAGCTCAACACGTGGCTGGGTTCCACCACGTGGCAACTGTGGGCCAAGCCTACGTGGACACGTGTGGACACCCAGATTCCACCCCATGAGCCGCTAGTGCGCTGAGCAAAAAAAGACACACTCACCATCGCAGGTGGTTTCAGAGACGCGGGGCAGCCAAGAGCCAGGTTCTCTTAACACCCTCGGGGGTTAAGCCCCCTCGGCTGGGCCCTGCCCTGCCCTGCCCAGGATGGAGGCTTGGGACCTCAGCCCCGGACTGCCCCTCGGTCTCCTGGCCTCCCCGGGTCAGGTGGGCCCCCTGCGGAACAGAGACGAACGCACCCCCAGCCCTCACCACCGCGCCACCAAGCCCCCCCCCCCCCCCAGCCAGTGCGGGGCAGAGGCTCACAGATTCACACCCTCGGACGCAGCCAGGCAAATCTGCCGGTCCCCCTTCCCGGAAAAAAGACATCCACCTCTTCCAGCGCCTCCTCGCCTGGCGGCACAGAGATGTCTGGATAAATAAACCCAACTGGCATTTGGGGCCGTCTCCCTCCCGTTCTCTGAGAGAACAGCTCCCTGCAAGGCCACGCGGCTCTCTCCCCGAGCCTGAAATACCGACCAGACCCAGGGAGGGTGGGTGTTCCAGCCTGTCCCCCCAGCTGGTGACATATTTAGGTCAATCACAGTGCACAGGGCGCAGGACACAGCAGCACAACCCTACCCGCCCCCCGCCGCCCCCCCCCCCCAACGGCCATCGATTTCTCCCTCCTCCCTTCCCGCTGAGTGGCAACTGCTGAGCCGGTCTCACTCCACCCAGCCTCCCCTCGGGGCCGCCTCTGACCCCAACGCCCTCTGACCTCAGAGCCCAGACCACAGTCTTTCCAGCAGCGACCAGCCTTCCTTCTGCAGAGCCCGGGCCCCGGGCCTGGACACTCGGCTGCCAGAGCGCGAGGCTCCCGGGTCTCAGCACGGGACCACCTCACGTTGACTCCATCGTCCTATCTCCCCTGACCCTCTGTCTCCCTCTCGCAGGAGTTGCTGTAATTAATCAGACTGGGCACTCCGGGTAACCAGGATGGCCCCCCCCCCACCCCGATCCTTAACTCAGTTACAAGTCCCTTGGGCTACGAAGGTGACACGGTGGCAGGTTCTGGTGATGAGGGCACAGACACTTTTGGGGGCCAGGATTCCGCCCCGCATTCCTTCCTGAGACAAGACTGTGTCCAAGGAGGCCCTACCGGGCCCCGGGAGGGAGGGACGGGTCCCTCCTTCCACCTGCCCCACGGGAATCCACAGGTCACAAAACACAGAACGGACCCCTTTCCTGGGTCAGATGGCCCTCAGGAGATGCAGGGGCCCCAGCAGCCCCCTCCTCCCACCCATCTCCTCCCCACCTCTCTCTGGGCCCCACCTGAAGCAGGATTGGAAAAGTGCCCCACCAGCCCTGACCACGAGAGCTCTGACTCTCTGAAGTCCCGTTGTGAGAACTACCAGCACAGAGGACATCCAGTCGCCCACACTTCCACAAGCCCATGCCCTACCCGCGCCATTTTGGTGAAGCATGCCCTCAGGCTGTTTGGAGCCCCTCTCTGCCTCTTCGTGGGGGGCAGGCCGCACCTGGCCTGCCTCACGGGCCGTGGGAGCCACCCTTGCAGGGGACCAGATGCCCATCAGTCCACAGGCACCAGCGGCTAAGTTACAGGCGGGGTCCCCAGGAGCGGGAGCCACACCCTGGCACATCAGACCACCAAGTCAGGGCCCTGCGGGGCAGGAAAGGCGGCCTCGTTAGAGACCACTGGGCCCGCCAGGGTCACACAGTGAGGTCCCCAGCACAGTGATTCGCTCCCTTCCAAGGACTGGTGTGGCCACGGGGGTGTTGCAGCAGAATGCTGGGGGCAGCCGGAAGCCTGGGGGAGGCTGTGGGAGCCCAAATGCCTCCCTGAGGAGGGAGTCTGAATCCCCAGACCTTCTAGGACCTGGGGGTGCGCCTGGAAGACAGGAGTCTGCCCCAGAATTCGTGAATTCCCTCCCTGCACGGCTGTCCAAGGGGGCCCCCATGAGAGCGGCGGGCACATGGCATGATGCCACCCAGTCCCGTGACAGCCGTTGGGCAGCAGACTCAGGGCAGGGGGAGGCCCGGGGGTGTGGTGAGCCCTGAGGGGCACTCAGACTTTCTAAGCCTTGGCTCCCTCGTCCCAAATGCCCCCTTCTTGCAGCGGCAGGGTCCACACAAGCCAGGTCCCGCTCTAGTGGGGGCGTTCGGGGCCCCTTACAGAGACTGCTGACCGCTGCTTGCCAAGGGACAAGGCAAAATGAGCCACAGACGCGGAGCCCCGAAAACAGCAGGGTGTGGTAAGGCGCTCCGTGCAGGGCTCGCGCACAGAGTCCAGCAGGCGCCCCCGCCCCGCCGGGCCCCCCACCCCGAGCCTGAGAGGCGGGCAGGGTCGGCAAGCTGACCGGGGACTCCGGGCACCTCCTCCACTGCCAGCCCACGGCCACCCGGACTCGGAGGGACAGAGAGAGGACGCCCTGGGCCATGCCCACCACACACCCCGACAGCGTGGGCCACGGCCCAACCCAGCGCCCCAGCCTCCAGGGGAGTCACTGGGAGGAAGGAACCAGCTTCCAGGCTATTTTTAAACGTGTAAAAGTAGAACTCTCAAGCAGGAGTCCTCCTGGCACAGAATCCAACAGCCGCAGCCACAGCCAGAAATAAAAATCAAGTGATAATCCTTAAATAAAACTCCTTCCCACCGGCCGGGCCTGCAAACACAGAGACCTCTGGGAAAGCTGCTCCGGCTGGCCACGTGGGAGGCAGCACACCTGGGGGCCCCAGGCTCCGCCCCACCCTTCCTCCTGCCCTGCAGCCTGCACCCTCCCCACCCACAGCCTGCCGGCCCAACTCGCCCGCTGGCCATCGCCTCGGACCTTTCTAGAAGGCAGAACCACGTGCTCCCCACAGTGACCAGGTATCAGGCTCTAAGCCGAGGGCACGCCGAGGGCTGCGTTTAATGACCAGCAAAAAAGCGCCCACGACAACTCCCTTCGCCCTCAGCTTCTCCAGGAGAAACACCGTTCGGGATGGGCAACTTCCGCCCGCACAATGTCTCCGACGTGGACTTCGCTTACTGTGGTGCCACCAACCTCCAAGAATCAGCGACCATGCTGTCTGGCCCTCAGGGGGCGGCACCTGCCGTGCCGGGCTGCTTAGACACCGGCCTACCGCAGGGTTAGGTCCCTCTGGGGAAACCAGCTGGGGTTTTGGGGGAACAAGCAGCGGGTTAACATTCTTTCCATGTAAAATAATGAGAAATAGGATCTCATCCGGGGTTTTGACCCAGAACGGCTGTCTTTCAGGAACCGACAGCCCCTCAGCACAGATGACGTGGCTTCATGGGGCCGCCCGAGGTCTGGGCTCTGGGGCCCCGGACCCAGAAACAGAAAGTGTGTGTGTGCCCATCCCTGGTCCCTCTCTCTTTCCCACCAGCACTGAGTGCCCCGCAGCTGAGCCCACCATGCCCAGCCCTTCCCCACAGCAATGAGCTATTTTCTAAGCACCTGCACCCTGCACAGCTCTGGGGTGGGGGCCGCCGGGACTCTGCCCCCAACAAGGCAAGACCAGGCCCTGAGTTTCCGAGTGGGTGAGCTCACCAGGGAGCAAATGTGACACATATAAAACACATGCTTAAGGACCAAACACCAGACAGGGTGAGAGCAGGGAAGGGCGTATCTGGAGGACCTGAGCTGTGGGAAGTGCCCGCCGGGACCTGGGAGGATGTGCAGAAGCGTGCCCGGTGGAAGGAACAGTCTGTCTGTCCACTCATCCATCCACCCGCCTACCCACAGACACACACATCCATCCATCTATCCGCTCACCCACTCACTCACCCTCCAGCCATCTACCCATTCACCCACTCACCCACTCATCGGCCCATCCATCCATCCACCCACCTACCCATTGACTCATCCATCCACTCACCCACCCACCCACTCACCTACCCACTGACTCATGCGTCCATAGACTCGTCCGTTCAAATACGCACTGAGCACCCACAACCACTAGACCACGAGCCTAACCTATGGGGATACGTAGATAAGGCGCCGGCCACCTTCACTCTGTCACACGAGAATCCGGCTCAGTAGAGGAGACGCGACGTGAAGTTCCCACATGGAGCTGGAAGAAAGTTGGGGCAAGCCCACGTCACAGGGCGGCCCGCTGGACCGGCGTGGCCTCGTCCCTGGGGGTCTCGGCAGGAGGGGACCAGCCAGGGGGCGGCAGAGGCCGGGGAAGGCAAGGTGCCGTCCCCACGCGGGAGCTCAGGCACGCCAGCGTAAGCGGGATCCCATCCTCTGGCCTCCTCACCGCCCAGGGAGCAGGTGAGGTGTTCAGTGGGTGAATGCGGGGCGTCAACGAGAAAGCTCCCAGAGCTCGCGTGGCTCCTGACGAAACACATCCCACGGAGCTCGGTTCTGTCCTCTTCCAAAGTGCCCGTCAGGGGACACTGCCAGACCCTGGACACAGAGCTGTCAAAACACCACACGGGCAGGCCCGCTGGAGCTTGCTCCCTGACTTCGCCCCCCACCCAAGAGTCCCGTAGCCCTGGGTCCCACGGGGCGAGCCCAGCACCGGCAGGCTCCGGGGGTGGCTCCTCTGAAGTAGGAGCTGGGCAGGCGGGGCGCTCAGCCGGGCACTGAGACGGCCCTGCCTGGGGCGGGGTGAGCTGGGCTCTGTGCTCGTCGAGGAGTCGGGGCCCAACATCCGCAACGCATAATGGAAGGGCAGATTCTCACCGGGAGTAGAAGGGATCCGGATCTGCCTTCCTCTTCGCTGAACAACACCGATTTAACGGCAGGAGCAGAGTCAAACCAACCAACGAAACGCCAGACTCCCAGATGGACATCTGCGGGCCCACATCCACCACCACGTGGCCAACCCCACACCGAGCCCTGCAGCCAGTAGGCCTGGAGTGGGGCCTCACCTCGTCTGGACAACTCCCGCCCCCTCCAAACCGTAAGCAGGCAGCAGGCAGCTCCCAAAGCCCCTGCTGGCAGAGGACTTTGTGGGTGAGAAAGCACTTGCCTGCCCTCAACCACCCAACTGGCTGCTCAGAAACTTCCCTTCCCTCCAGGGCCCTTCCTTGAAGTCTCGGCATCAGAGAGAGATGCTCCAGGCCACGGGAGTGAAACCCTCTCAGGCGGGAAACAGACAGCCACGCTGACCCGCGGTGGCTCGGAGCAGGAAGGGGCGCACCGGGGCTCAGAAGCAAAGGGCGTCCTCTGCCCAGCCACGCTCTGCATGAGCTAACTGCCGTCTGCCCATCTGCGTCCGCCGGGAACCCACATGCATCTGGCCCTGGGTGGGTGTCGGTGGCCCAGTGAGCACGGTCCCTACGCCATGGGGGCTCAAGACCCCAGGGTGGGCCCCCCAGGGAGGATTCCACAGGCCTTCGCATCAACACAGAACCCGTGCATGGGTAGGGAGGTTCAGGCTTCGCCTGGCAACCAGGAAGCCTCCAGACCCCGGAGGCCCCATCAGCATTTCCTCCAAGAGCCAAATTCCACCCCAAGTCCCTTTCGGAGAGAATCTCCTTTCCCAGGGCCCACACCCAGCAGGAGGTGGAGAAAGGCAGAGAAACTGTGGACCGCTTACTGGGTGCTTGTGCTTAAAAAGCAGTAACAACCGAAATGCATCTCGGGCTAAATGCAAATGCACGATGCTTTTAACTTACTTATGCACTTCTTTAACAAATTTAGGCTCCTGCCTCCAGTCACGAGCCGGGACGCATTTCCAACTCACAGTCTCCACCCTACGTCATTTTCTCTCAGGAACATTTGTACTGTTCAATATTTCATAACCAAGAAAGCCGCTGCACACTCGGGCTATTTCCTCCTCCCCACAAAAAACAATAGTCTGCTTTCTGGGAGAAAGTACTACAGATAATTGAATGGAGTTTCAACACCGGCCACGTAGGCGTTTTGCAGAGGGGGAGCTGAGGCCGTGAACGGGTGAACGTCCGCAGCCGGCCGCGACCCGGCGGCCGACTCGAGGACTAGAAGCGTGGGTGCCGACCGCAGACCCGAGCTCCCCCGAGCCCACGTCAGCACCCCTCCTGCGGGGCCAGGGCACAGAGGCCGGTCCAGCAGCAACCCAAAGCACCCTGTGGGTCTCAAGGATGCTGTATATCCTCTCGTGCATGCTCTGCTCCCCCAGCTACTGAGTGGGAAGAAACAGCGGAGGAAGAGATGGGCTCTCCTGTGCAGATTCCAACCCGACCGAGTTTTTCTGCAATTAATTCCTCCACCCACACGGCCCAGGACGTTGTGCCAGATGCTCAACAGGGGCGGCCAAAGGACCACCTGAAACTATGAACCTGGCCGGAGGAAAGAAACTCGCCACCCAGGGCACAGGCGGTTAAACCCCGCCAAAGCCACACAGCAGGTGTAACGCGGGGCAGGGACGCTGTCTAGGTACCATTCTGGAGGGACCTCCGGGAGGCAATGGAAATGGGAGAAAGTGAGACCGGGATAACATTCATCTAAGGAGGAAGTTAAGAACGTACGTGTTTGTTTCTACAAAAGAGTCAGTTGAAGCATAAGCCGTAAAATCAAAAGACACTGGTTATCTATAGAGGAAAAGAAGGAAGGGGGTGTGCACAGGAAGAGAAACCGATTTCTCTGAATATGCCTGGACCTTGCAACCATGCAAGCAATTTTAGACGACTGCAAAAATAAGTTTGGTTCTAACGAGAACTCTTCACAATACGTGTCACGGGACAAAAGGACACAGCATCACACCTGTGACACTCTTCACCTGAATCTCATCCTGAGGGAACATCAGACAAACCCAAATTGAGGGACGTGCACTCTTCAAGAACGCCAACACCAGGAAACACGAAGGCAGGCCGTAACCGCTCCGGGAGACGGACCGAAGAGACGGGACGCCTGAGTGTAACGTGTGACCGGGGACCCTCTTCTGCTAAAAATTACAGGACAGCACACTGTGACAAACAGTGAGGCTGCAGTAAGGCCTTAGGTTAGACAATTGTGTGGAATGGACGTTAATTTCTGGAGGTCGGTAACGGTACTGGTTCGGCAGGTAAGAGAGTACCTGCTTTCAGGAAACACACACAGGAGAGCTCCAGAACATCACGTCTGCAGAGGACCACAGGCAGGTGGATGGGAGGAAGGACAGGTGGGCGCACGGATGGACAGATGGACGGATGGTTGGGAACGGGACAGACAGGCAGACAAGCACGGTAAAATTGAACCTTGGGGACGATCTGGCTGAAAGGACTACAGGGATTCTTTGTGTTATTCTTGTGACCTTCCTGCAAATCGGGAATCGGGTCAAAATAAAAAGTGAATGGAAAACAAGAGTCATCTCTAAAAATCTAAATCACTCACGAGAACTAGGATTTTCAGCCTGAGAGATCAGAGAACAGTCTGATGAGGTCGAGTAAAGACCCTGGGACGTGAGAACAGGGTCTCGGGGAAAAACCGCGCACCAGCACTCGCAGCAGCCAAACGCGGAGGCAACGCAGGCGCCTGTCAACAGATGGACACACAGACACAATGTGGTCCAGTCACACAGCCGAACGGCGCTCAGCCTTGCAAAGGAAGGGAGTGCTGCCACGTGCTGCCACACGGCCACACGGATGAACCTGAGGATATCACGCCCGACCCCAAAACACAAACACTGTAGGTTCCACTTGCATGAGGTCCCTGCAGAAGCCAAACCCCCAGAGACGGACGGAAGGACGCTGGCTGCCGGGGCTGGGGGAGGGGCACGGGGACTTGACGTTTAATGGGCACAGGGTTTCAGTTTCACAAGCTGACCACACGGTGACGGTCGTGTGGCACCGCGAACGTGTCAACACCACAAGCGGTGCACGTCAAATGGTCACGATGGCAAATCTTGTGTTGTGTATATTTTATCACAATTTTTTTTTAAAGGAAAAAAAAGAAAACCCCAGGTATTGGATGTGAATTCAAATGATCTGTGTGAACTCAGGACGCCCTATCTCTGCCCACTGGAAACATCTAGAAACAGTGACAGCAGCGAGTATGCCAGAAGGCTTATTTAGCTTCTAAACACCACTCTCGACCGAAAGGAATCAGGAGAAATGGCTAATTCCAGGACGGGGGCAAGAGATGATGAAGAGCCTGGAGCATCTGTCACACCAGAGAGCTCACGGAGGAGTGACTGACGTCGAAAGGACTCAGAAGCAAAACCGAAGCACCACCCAAGGCCCAGCGGTGGGTCTATCTGGGCACCGACGGGTAGCAGCGATTCAGACACGTCAGCTGTGTTTAAGGCCATGATCGCATGAGGACAGCGAAAAACCCACAAAAGCCCAACACCCTCGATGGTCACCTTTGGGAGATGCTCTAAGTAGGGAATCAGCTCATTATTCTGAAAACCAGACAATAAAGGAAAAAAGTTCAAGCATGTATCCTGCCTCTGCTTATACGAACCATCCCCGGGAGCAACCAAGTAGTTAGGTTTTCAGAACCACGTCGGTGAGTAAATGGAGGACGACTGGAGGGGTCGGGAACGACCATTCCGGAACGTCCAGGGCACGGCGGATGGAAGCCATGACAGCCAAGGGCGGAAACCACCTCAGGGAAGCCGCCACCGAGGGAGTCCTCCCAGAGAGCGCCCCGTGTTGAGTCCACGGGGACGCCCTGAGCAAGGTCCAGGGCGGAGGCCCCGCCAGAGCTGGCCTGGTTTCCTCCACCAAGAGCAGAGACGCAGACAACTGGCAACACAGGAGCCTGGAGACATGCGCCAGCCACTCCACGCGGGGCCTGGGTGCCGTTCTCGGAGTTGCGGAAAAACCGGCAGACAGTCGGGGAAATCTGAGCTTACGACGGGGGTCTGACGACATGAAAAGATAACCTGATGCTTTCAGTTGTGAGTATCAGACTCACGGCTTTCGTTTTTAAAACACGACGAACTGCCTGCCGAAAATACAGACGAAGGATGAGAGGCTGGCGGGAACCCGCCTGCCGCAGCCGCCTCTCGCTGGAGCTGACGGTGAGCGCGCGAGATGCTCTACCTCTGTGTCTGTCTGAAATGTTCCTAGTTCAAAACGAGTGCCCACAGCTGCCACCCCACAGCTATCAAAACTGACGTGGATGCTTTCGCGACGTGAGCTACCCAAGAGTAAACCAGAAGCTCTTTTGGCAAAACACTGAGGCCGGACCCGAGGGCTCCCCACCACGGCTCAGACACCTGTTGTCACGTGCAGGCGAGGGCCCCCACGTGGCTGCAGAGCAGGGGCGCCCACGGCTAGAGCTCAGTGGACACTCAGTGTGTGGACCCCGAGGGAGAGGTGTCCGTGGGCCGGCAAGGGCACAGCCGCTGGGTCCGGAGCGCGGAAGGAGACAGGAAGGGAGGGGACCTGCCCGCGGACCCTTCCTCCTGGACCCGGTGGCTCCTGGCCAGGAGGCCGCGCCTTCCTCCCTGTATCGTCCCGGCAGCTGTAGCTGCCACCGCGGCATCAGCCGTGGAGGCTCCACGTGGCGCAGCGGGGTCACTCGCGTGGGCGCCGGGGCGAGTCTGCCTGCTTCCGACCCCTCGCCGGCGAGAGGGCTTCCCCGGGGAAGGTCACCCTCCCCAGCCCTGCGGTTCCCGTCTGCAGAGCAGGGAGACAGAGGGAGGCGGGACGTCCAATGAGATCGTGTGTGCGAGGACCCGGGAGACGCCTCCGCAGCAGTTTCTACCACTGCTACGCAAGAGGTCTCGGCTCGCGGCAGCGGGGAGGTGTGGTTAAGCTCGCCGATGGCCCAGATCCCGAGGCGTGCGGCCACCTGACGACGAAATCCTCGGGCTCCCCCTCCCTCCGCGATGCGACAGCAAACAGACCAGAGTGGACAGTCTCAGTCTCTTCGCCACGCTCTGACCCGTTCTGAGCTAAGTGCTGGAAATGATGCACCAGATTCCCTGAAAGCACCGGACTCTCCAGGGAGCCTTTTATCCCTTCCCGGTGGCGTCCCCCTCACCCCCGAGCAACGACGTCGCAGCTGTGCGGACAAGAGCTCGGGTCTTAGTGGAGCAGCAGAGGGAGCCTCAGGAAGCCCGTGCCCACGGGGCCAGGCCCGTCCCCACCACGACCGAGCCCAGGGACAGCGGTCACGGGGCTTCCCCAACCCAAACAGCCTGTGCGCTTCTGCGGGACGGCATCCTCCCATCCCCCCACCGGTACTCACGTAAGAAGTGCTTTTCCAATAAGGCGATCTCCAGGTGACCTTTGATCTCATTTAATCGGTCAAACTCTGTCCGGTTAAAGTCCTGGACTCCTGCAGCCATGATGAGGGTCCCCGGACCAGCCTACGAGAGATACACCGAGACTCAGAGGAGCCGCCTCGAGACGTCCCGCCTGCACGTCAACTGGTTCTCCGAGGGGTACCCTGAGGACCCCTCATCTGCAAGGGCCAGGCCCACAGAGCCCCCGGGGAAGACAAGGAGGGCCTCTGCCACGAAGCGGGTATCCCTTCACCTCAGCTTCACCTGCCGGTGGAAGGGACATCTTCAGCTGCTGGTGGAGCCCAGGCGAGGTCAGCTTTTAGAAAGGATTTAAAAAAAAAAAAAAAAAAAAACCCACGATGCTAAGCCTCTTGACGGCCACAGCACTCGGGCCGCAGAGGGAAGGAAACCACAGACACCCAGGCCGGCCAGCGAGGCACCCTCCGGGGAGGCGGGTGAGCCCAGCCACGAGACCTGTCCCCCTCGCGCCCCAGAGCTGGAGTGACAGGACTCCGGGTCGGCGGGGTGGGCACGTCCACGCGCCAGGCTGCGTAAATTCTGCAAGAATGGCGGCTCCCGAGGCGAGCGAACTCCAGACCGGGGCCTGTCCCGTTCCACGGAGGGCTAATTAAAACCACCGCCTGACGTCCCCAGGGGTGCAGGGCAGGCTCCGGTTACAGATGACCGCGGCCCGCTGCCACTCGCCCAGGGGCCTGGCACGGTGGCTGCTCGCCTCCTGCTGACGGGAGGGGAAGGGGAGCAGGGCAGGCCAGCACAGCCAGGCCCCCCACCCACCGGGCGCACAAGGAGCGCTCGGCTCACACACTGGACCCTTCCACGGTCGCCCCCACAGCTGCATCCTGACGCTGACCTGGCCAGAAGCAGCAGCCGTGCGTCCCCCGCGATGCGACGGGGGAGGATCGGACTCTGGTCCTGGTCTCCGTGAGCCCCCTCCAGGCTGGGGGAGGGTGGAAGGGGACCCACAGCCCGGACAGGGCTCGACAGGCCTCGTGACCCCTCCTCCACAGACACAAGCTGCCTGCTCCAGGCCACACCCCAGCAAAGAGATGCTGACGGTGGGAGGCCAACGGGTCCCGTGGCTGCCCTGACACTTGACCTGTCGGGACTTTCTCGCTTCTGGGGTGTGAGTCGCCCTGCTGACCTGCACCCCCCATGGCCTGGCAGCAGTGGACATGGGCATTGGGGATACTTCCAGCTGCCCTACCAGGAGGAAGAAGGCGCATGCCTGACCCACTCACCCTGCAAACGAGCTCGTCCCTCCCCTGCCCGCCCCTCCCCCTCCCCCTCCCCCACCTCCATGACGGCCAAGGCAGCAGCCACGCAGCGGAGGGCAGAGGCTGGCCAGGAGAGGCGGCTCCGCACCGACAAACGCTCGACTCCATCCTATCCACCAACTCCTCCCCAAAAGCGAGCGGGATGACCCCCAGTTTATGGGGCCATGTCTGAAATGCTGTGATGCGGGTCAGGCTCTAGGATGCTGGAGTCGAGGCCGTCCGGAACTTGCCCTTGTGCTTCCAGAATCCCTACAGGGCCCCCTCGGGTCTAGCAGAGCCAGGGCCCCTCAGGGTGTGGGGCAGACTGAGCCGAAGCCCAGTGGACGGCAGGAATGGGGAGGAGTGGCTCCGGGGAGCCGAGCGGCTGGCCGGGAGCACCGATGGGGACAGTGGGCCGCAGGTCTGAGCCCCTCTGCGAGCCCCTTCAGCTGACCCCTTCTCGGACCCCGCCCCCCCCCCCCACGCCCTTGCCCTCAATCACCACGTCCACTTAGCGAGAGCAGCCAGTCACAAAAGGGCAGGTGCTATAGGCTTCTCTCACGTGACGTCCCTGGAGGAGTCGCGCACAGAGACAGAGTGGGTGGGTGGGCGCCAGGGGCTGGGGCACGGGTGGGGACAGGGCTTCAGTGTGGAGAGACGATGGCGGTTCTGGAGGTGGACGGGGGGGGGGGTGACACGCTCAATGCCGGCGAACAGAACACCCGACCGCAGCTAAAATGGGGAGTTCTACGTTAAGTATGCGTTACCACAGTAAGAAACCTCAAGTGAAGAGAACAAAGCCTAAGCACAGAGGTGTCCAGCCTCCCTCACAGCAAGAGCCGCGCCATCAGAGCCCCACTCTTCACCCGTCAGGCCGGCAGAGCAGAAAGCCTGAGGACACCCCGAGCCAGTGACAGGCGTGGGACGTGGGCCCTCTCAGGCAGCCATGGGAACCAACTGTACCCCGCAGGAGGGCGGCCTGGTCACAGCCACCGGGAGGACGGATGTCGTGGACCCAGCACGCCCACCTGGGGGACACGGGGTCACAGGTCACAGGTCGCTTCAGTGGGGAGAGCTTCACGTGTCGATGGCACAACCCTCGTGGGAGCCCAAGCCCAGCGCCCCCGCCACGGACAGAGTCCCGGTCGGCTGTCTGTTCACACAGCCCCTGTGCCCGCCACCCCTCAGACCTCCCCGCACCCTCAGACGTGACCTCAAAGAGGGCACGGGCACGGCTGGGCCCCGAGACCCTCCGCACCATCGGCCGCCACCCTCACGCAGGGGCCGTGCTCTAGGGTGAGTCCGGGTCTCTCTGCAGACAGCACCCAGGGCAAGGCGGCTGCCGCTAAGCCCCAGCAGGATGGACAGACGGACGGAGCACGGAGCCAGAAGAGAGCTCTGCAGGATCCCTGTCACACCCCAGGGTGAGCTCAGACCCGCGCGTGGGGACTCATGCTCCCGAAGCGCCCCCGGCACACTCGACCCAAAGGCCACCGTCGGAGCCGTGGCTCCCGGCGCCCGGGGGGGCACGGGCCAGAACGGGGGACACACCGCCTTCCTTGCAAGACAAGCCCGTGGCGCTCTGCATCACGTGTACCAGGAGACAAGGCAACAAGGGACCCTGCGGCTGGAGGAGCAGCTGGGGGACCACGGCCCACACCCCGGCAGGCTCCCCTCCCGGCTCCGCAGCGCCCGGCCCACCTGATCAGGCAGCCCGGCTCCGAGTGAATTATTCAGTCCCGCCAGGAGCGCACTCGTAGTCCCCGTTCTGGTCTGAGGCATTAATAATAGAAGGAGCCAGGGAGGACGAGCACTCACAGCCCACCCCTAGAAAGGAAACTAGCTCGGGCGCTCAGAGGAGAAACCAGCAGGCCGCCAATATGGTCCCCCATGCCGGGCAGGATGGCTGCGGGCGTCTTCCCCGGCGACGGGGAGGCCTCAGGCAGTGGTGCCCACGACGGCGAGCCCCGCGATCACACCTGGCCAGGGAGCCCGCCCCAGCCCCCGAAGACACACAAGCTTCCAGAAGGCAGAGCCCACTCAGGCCTAGTTCCCACCGTAGCCACGCTGTCTAGCTGCCCCACTAAAGGGCACCCTGCTGACGGGCCCACAGGGGACGGTGAGGACCCAGCCTGGGCTCGGCCAGCTGCCGAGGGTCGGGAACGTCAGGCTGGGGTCTCTGCCTCACTTCCGCACCAGAAGTCGGCCAGCCACCCAGAAAACCAGTGAGGAAAGAAAAGAAATCCAGCTGCTGGACAGACCCGTGGTGAAGGCAGGCTGTCTGATCCTCAGTCGGTGGGGGGTATGAACCCCGGGCACTGAGGGCTGTTCCGGGACAAGATGAGGACAGAGGGGAGGCCAGCCCGGGCAGGACGGGGCTGCCGAGTGCATGCTCTGCTTGGCCACCTGAGGTCGGGGGATGGCCCCCAGGCCTACACTTCCGGACATGGGGACGAGGCCAAGCAGAGCAGGGGACGTTCCCGCTGCCAGGAGGCCCGCACAGCATACTCACAGGGTCCCTCAGCTCCTCACTGTCCCGGGGCGAGGTCCGAGGTATTCTCAGGGGAACTTCATCTCCGCATTCAGTGTCCGAGGCATTTGGAGACTCTGCTAGATCGAGGAAGTCATCTCTCTTGTGACCTCTGAACCTGATTTTGTCCAGCCTCCTTAGCATGTTCAGCACTGAGCCTCTCTGCTTTACCTTAACATGACGGTCGGGGTCCCTGCAAGAGAAGGGGGGAGGCTCGGTCACTCGCCTGCCGGCCACCTGCCCACGTGGCACGCCCACCAGCCTGAACACACGGTTCTCCCGCACACACCTCGGTCCCGTGGCCAAGCCCTGTCCTCAGGGAGCAGTCAGTCTGGCTTTTCAAGGAACGCTCGGGACCCACCGGCTCCCACCTTGCACCTACCAGCCTGGGTCCCTCCATCACCCCCACTCAGCTGGCCAAGCTCCTACCACTGCCCCCGACCAACATCACCCCCCACCATGTACCCCACAAGACAGGAGGAAGCCAAGTCTGTCAGCAGGACCTTCCCGGCCATAATGACGGCCAGCCTGGTGCATGGGAGGCCAGAGACCCTGGGTCTCATCAGAAGCCCTCCTAACCAGCCAACCATCAAGGACACGGTCAGAGCTGTGGCTCCACACGCTGCCCAGACAGAAGCAGACACCCGAAAACTGCTAGAATGCTCGGCATTAGGGCGTCTCAGTGGCTCCCTTCTGAACCCAGTGGGGCCCCGGCTTCGTGTCCCCCGGCTGGGCCTGGTCCCCTCACCCAGGTCACCACCCAGGCTGCTCTGTCTGCCTAAAGCACCTTCCCGCTCGCCTGGGCAGCCCTTGCTCGGCTTCCAGAGGCGGCTCATTCTTGCTCAGAGAGGTCGTCCCACACACAAGGGCTGGTCAGGAGCCCCGCACTCGCCCGCCTGCCTCCCCAGCACGGCCCCAGCCCACAGACTGCCCGCCAGGCTCCTCCAGCCAGGAATGACGGCAGCAAAGACCTGACCTGGGGGGTCACACCGAGGGAGGACACGTGTAAGTTCAGACCCACGTGCTCACCCGGGGACGGACGTGTCGTGGGGTGCCCCACATCTCTGTGCCGTGGCCAGGAAAGGCAAGGCGCCCCACCAGGACCCCCAGGGACAGAGCCAATAGCTCATCTGCACGTCCAGCCGACCTCGCTCCAAAGCCTACAGCAGAGGCCACAAACCCCACCGAGTCCCAATCGCACAGCTCCTGGGCCGTGAGGCCTTGGGTCCCTGCGAGGGTGGGGGCCTGGACAAGACTGCTGCAGCCTGCTTTGCTGCTTACCGCCTTTCTAGGCCCCGGCTCCGCCTCTGAGATGGGAATGAGAGGAGTAAGACCAGAGAGTTCCAGGAGCTCCAGACCAGAGAGCTCCGGGGGCTCCAGGTGACACACCCCGGGAGCCTGCCGCCGGCCCCAGAAAACAGGCCAGCACCCCCGGGCAAGGCGGGCAGGGAGGGGGCTGAGCAGCATGGAACCCGTCAACTCGGCCCCGGCGGTCCCACTGGGGAAATCTCACGGAGAACCGCAACGCGGGGAGAGGCGCTTCCTGTTTGGGACCGTTTGGGGTGGAGCCGGCGCAGGGCTGTCAAAGGGCCCTTCGATCACAGCCCCCCACCGCCAGGGGCCCTCTGCCCCCTCGGCAAGCTTTCCTGCCCTGAGCAGGGGATGCCAGCAGTGGGGCCCGCAAGGCCCCAGCCGAGATGGACCAGACCTTGCTCTGGTCCTCGAGAACAGCGGAGGCATGTGGGGGGGAGGGGCTGCAGGGGCTCCTTCCAGCCTGCCTGGGACACCACAACGTGGCCCCGTGTGGCCCTAGGGGCAAAAGCCACAGGACACACAATGCCCAGTGCCCCCAGGGACCCAGGGGAGCCCAGAAAGGGCGATGGGGGCCCTGGGGGAGGGGCAGCACTGCTCCTCTGGAGGGGTGGGGTGGGGTGGGGGCGGCCACCTGGACAACCAGCGCCAGATGGATGAAACGGGTGAATGAAGGAAAACACACACACACACACACACACACACACACACACACACACACACACCCACCCCTGAAGACAAGAGAACTTCGTGCCGACCAAGTCCCTAGAGTGGGGGTAACAGTCTGTGTAATAGAAATGACAAAAATAATCACAGAGTAAAAGGGTCTGATAATCAACTGGACAAAAGTAAATCTCCACTTGCTAAAAACAATGCAGTGCGGGGGGGGGGGGGGGGTGCCTGGGAGCCTCAGTCGGTTAAGCGTCCGACTTCGGCTCAGGTCATGATCTCACAGTTTGTGGGTTCGAGCCCCGCGTCGGGCTCTGTGCTGACGGCTCAGAGCCGGGAGCCTGCTTCAGATCACGTGTCTCCCTCTCTCTCTGCCCCTCCCCGCTCATGCTCGCTCTCTCTCCTCTCTCTCTCAAAAGTAAATAAAACATTAAAGAAATTAAATAAAAATGCAGTGAAACAAGGTATACGTGTAGCAAATGTGGTGTAGTGAACGATTACTATCTTTGTCCTAAGACCGCGTGAATAAACGGGCAAAAGTTCCAGGACCCTGGTCCACAGACAGGCCAATTCCCCGGGCAGAGGAATTCACGGCAAGAGGAAATCGACCACTACTGGAGCAAAAACCTCCAAATTCACCAAAAAGGAAACCAAAGCCACTGCACGCGGCAGAAGGCAGCGGGATCCGTGCACAAAGACGCCCTCGGAACCAGTGACTCCGTCTCCAGGGCAAAGCCAACACGTGGGGAGAGTCTCACCCTCAGATCGAGTTGTGACCCAGCAGCCCTGCCCGCTACCCACCCGCCCCCAGACGGGGCAGGGCAAGGAGTCCTGGACCAGCACGTGGGGCTCCCACAGGACACCATCCCCGAGTGACACAGGCAGCTGTGACTGCCATCCCGGTCACTGTGAAGGCAAACAGGTGTCCAACACAACTGAAGGGGACACAGGACCCTGCATTAGGTTTATGGGCCCACAGGTGGTTTGTAAAACCTCCTTCTCCAAACGTCCTAGGATGCTTCCCTGTTGCTTTTTTTTTTAAGTCCGTTTATTTTGCGAGAGGGCGAGCGAGCAAGGGGGGGCGGAGAAAGAGGGAAAGAGGGAGAACCCCAGGCAGGCACAGCGCTGTCAGCGCACAGCCCAACGCGGGGCTCGAGCTCATGAACCGTGAGAAGGTAACCTGAGCTGAAGCTGGGCCGGACGCTTACCCGACTGGGCCACGCAAGCGCCCCCAATTTTTCAGCTCGGAAATAAAAACCTGGGTACGGGAAACGCAGCAACGCAAAACCTCCTCCCTTTCGCTCCAAAAAGACCGGCCGGACTCCTCGGCGTCGGGGCACAGTGGGGTGCGGAGGCTCGCGAGCCGGGACACCTGGCTGACTTCTGCCCGGCGGAAAGCGGCGGGGTTGGTCCTGTACTCCTGGCACGGCTCCAGCCGGGTGGGCTCTCTGTCTGCGGTTCTCTATGGCCCCCGAAGCTGGGGCCGCCGTCCTTCCCGGTTCAGCTCCAGCAAGCTAATGAGGCGGGGACACGAGGACAGGGGACAAAGCACCAAGTGTCCAGCCCGGCACCATCGGAACGCAACGCACGCCTGGGCCCGGCCCCACACGCTGGGCTAGCCAGGGCCACGTCCCTCCAGCCACCAGCTCAGCCCAACCCTGGGCTCCTCCTGCTGGCTACTCTCATCAGCCTGTGACGGGGGGGGGGGGTGTCTAGACACACAGCCCATCAGAGAGAGGGGCTCCCAGAGGCCCACTCCCGTCCCCGTCGCCCTGCTCCCCCAGACCCCTTGGGCCCCTCGAAGAACAAAGCACCCGCACTGCTGTCAGATCAGGACCACAAGCCGTGACTCCCCAGCCACCCCAGCGGGGGCCGGCCCAGCCTGTGAGGGGACCCCACCGTGTTGCATCCCTGTGCCGGGCCAGAGCGTAGCCAACCCCACCCCAGGACGGCTGACCGCACCTCAGTCACACCTGCAAGGTCTCTAGTCCACATAAGGTCACGTTCACAAATTCCGGTGGACGTGAATTTGGGGAGGACACACCGTGCCAGCCGGTACACCCCCCCCTTTCAGAGGTAGACGGAAAACCATTATGGAGCATCGTCTCAGACACAGACAGGAGGCCAGATCTCGGACACCAAGTGTGACCCACAGGGAAGCTTTCCACACAGAGCCAGAGTCGAACGGGCACGCTCTCGACGCATCTTACCTGTACCTCGCGTTCCGGGTGCCTGTGGCCACGTGTCCCCCGCCCCCCCGCCCGGCCCCCCCCCCCCCACCCCCCCCCTTCCCCCGCCCCCCCCCCCCCCCCCCGGCGCGCCGGGGGCCCCCCGTGTGCCCCCCCCCCCCCCCCCCAAGGTAGACCAGGCGCTCTGCGGGACCTGCTGCCCCTGGCCCCGCAGCCCTCAGAGGGAACACCTCTCTGTACCTCCATGCAGAAGCAGGCGCGCCGGGAAAGGACCCTGGCCGTGGCTACTCCAGACCCCCGCCCAGAGCCGGGACGGTGTGCAAGGACCCTGTAACCGTCTGCCCTGGGAGCAAGCACGGGGCACCTGGTGCCGTGGCGCAGGGCGGCGGGGCTTGCCCAGCTCAAGGCAGCACCCACCAGGCCCCGCGCCCTCCGCACAGGGGACTGAGTCCGGCCGCGCCGGCCCGAGACACAAAGCACGCTGCTCTGGGAACCCGATGAATGCCTTCTGGACACACAAAGGCGGCAGTGTCTAGGGAAACTGGACTTGGAAACCACAAAGGACTTTATTTCCCTTCCCAGCCAAGGTTTTTTAAACGGTGGGTCCGGGTCTCTGGCCCTGGCCGCGTCCCCGCCATCCCGCCTAGACATGCAGTGCGCACCGCTCCCCGGCCTGGCTTCGTCTCCCGGGTTACCTGGCGGCTCTCCGGCCGATCCAGGGATGAACTGTGTCCACTTTCCCACAGGATGCAGGCCCGTCCCAAGCCCCATTCCTGGGGAGCCCCAGACGTGGAGAACTGGGCGCCTCCCCCCTCCCCGCAAGCCAGTCCCAGAGACCGCCTGGCCCTCTGCCACGTCTCCATCCTCTGGGAACACGGCCCCAGACTCCTCGGGCAGAGCGGCCTGGGGCGGCTGCTGTGGACCCCGAGGCTTTGCAGGGGGAACAGGAGGGCCAGGGAGGAGGTGCGGCCTCAGGTGGGTCCCAGTCAGCATCCCAAAGCCTCGCCCCCAGAACCCGGCACCC